CTTAAGGGGACACTTCAGGTTCAAAATGATTTTTTTTAAATATCAACCAATTTTAATGAAAATTTCATAGATTGTGAATAAAGCATTTAGAAAGATATTCCCAAAATTTGAAGCAAAAATATTAATTTGTTGAAAAGTTATAATTTTTTTAATAATTTATCCGCAAGTTAAATTACTAAATGTTCCAATATTTCAAAATGTTTCCTGCGCATGAGTTTTTATCGTAGCTGTATGAAACTCATTTATATTACAGTTTGAATAAGTATAAATAAAATTGGATATGTTTGAACAACTTAGCACTTAATTTTAAACAAATAAAAAATCAAAATATCATAGTCTTTATATAATTTTTAAAAATTGAAATTTAAATAACAATTTAAAGTAATTTAAAAAATATTCAGTGAGTATTCAGCTTTTATTTATATCACATTGGTTACGGAACATTAGACCAATCATATATATGAGAAAAAAATAAAGATTTATTCAAAACTCATGCGCAAGGAACTTTTCGAAGTTTGAATATTATCGTAAAAAACAACATTGAGAAAAAACAGTTTAACTATAAAAACAGACAGTTTACATAACCTTGTTTACAAATCTTGAAATGCTTATAACTTTGCAAAAAATGACTGAAATTGAAAAATTTTTCTTTTAAATTGTAGCTAGATATAACTATTATTTTTTGAAACAAAAATTGAAAAAAGTATAATTTGGTCGATTTTTGGGTTTTTCATCGTGAAGTGTCCCCTTAAATCAAATTTATTCTAGGTGGTTCATTTTCTTTTTGGCGCACTTCTCAAATTAATTAAGCGTGCCAGCCAGGTGGCCAAGTGGTTAGCGTGCCTGACTGTGAAGTCAATAGCTGTGGGTTTGAATCCCGCTCAGGTCATTGAGGTTTCTCTCTGCATGTTGTCCTCTGTTGTGTGTGAATGTGACCCACCCTATGAATCTGTGGTAGTGTAGCGTGGGGAATGTTGCTGCTCTCAGTGACTTTGATTACAAAATACTCGCTAGGCAACTCAAATTATAAAGCACTTCCGGCACCTTATGTGGCAAAGAACGATAAGTTCAATGCTTGTCGATTTTTTTATTTTTTTATTTCCAATGAGCTGCACAATCGGTCTTGCCGATGAGAAGATCTAGTGTGTTCTCCAGACGTGGTATCCACTCTTTCAGGACCACCACTATGGGTGAGATACCGTTGGTCATGTTAATTTGGACGTCTAGTTTCTGCCACACTAGATGGCTGGCAGTACCGAGACTCTATTTGGATACTAAAGTGCTTTTCGAATTTAATTTTGCCAGAAATGCCAAGAGCCAATAAGGCACTCCAGGGATCTTTTACGTGCCGCATAATCATACGACATGACCGCTGAGGATTTTCTGCATCCCGAAAAACCGGTACCTGGGCCGGGGATCGAACCCGCAGACTTGGGCTCAGAAGGCCGACGACAAACCAACTGCGCCACCCAGCCACATGCTTGTCGTTAAGAAGAAGAAGAAAACAATAATTAAGCGTTGTCTGTAAATGGAGATTTTCGAAGATTTTCCTGAACGAATTTCACATTAACCTTTTCTCCATTAACTTTGCGTTCCAGTACATTGCTTGCTTTTTTCAAAATTAATACAGATTTAGCCTTGATGGCTCAGGGGATAGAGAGTTCACTTTCCAATGTGGTGAACCGTATTCGAACTCCGCATCCGGCTTGCACAGACCACAATGCTGACGAAAAATATCCTTAGTGGTAGACGTCCCTTGCCGGGGAAGATTTCCGTGGTTTTCCTCTCCATGCAATGCAAAGGTGGGTTAGTTACCTCAAAAATTCCTCCACTAAAGCAAATTTCTTCCAAAATTTGATCCAAAAGTTCCCTTATCTTTTGGATTGGCTTCAAAATTACAAGGCTACGGAGTTGAACATTAGTAGTCGTAAATCCAAAATTGGGTCGGTTGTTCAACGATGGTTATAAAACTATTTCCCGGCACACACACATGTCATAATTAGGTTAAGACATCAATTTCTAGTTTAGTCTGAGTAGTTAAAATCCTGAAACAGTTATGCTATGATGCATGGAATAACATGAAATTATTCAGTTGAATTCATTATTATACAGTTTTTAGCCATTACCTGGAAATACTGCATCAACTGAAAATTAAGAATTAGAAAAATTAGAGAGAGTAAAAGTTTAGTCATTGATGCTACGCATTTTCTATTTAAAATCTAATTTTTTTTTGTTGTATAGATAAAAGGTAGCTTCTTTTTCGTTCTTTTTTTTTGTTCGCTAACAAAATTCACTGGAAACATTTTCATTTCAAATGATCAAAAAAGCATCCCATGAATTTTCTTTGATTCAGCTGATTATTATCCAGAAATTTGAACTTTTTTGAATTAGCAACTATTTAAATTAACATTTCACTGATTATAAATACTTTTTTAAGTCTTTTTTTAAGTTTAACAAGGCATCGCCTTAATGGAAATGACTTAGAAAAAAACTCACAGCTCTGCGAAATCAACGACAAAAGATATATTATAAAATCCATCAACCGTTTAAGATTCGGGTACTTGAGGATCTTGAAAATCAGCAGAGATGGAGTAAGAATTTTCTGCCTTGCAACATTGCCCAGATGTATCAGGAACTCCTCTCCACGTGTTTACCTTGCTCATCTAGGAAAATACGCTCCCTTTCGTGGAGCAACTCAACTCGAACAAGATCACCGAGATTGCTGCTAGTGTGCTTTCAACCCAACGAGTATATTTGATCTTCCGTGGAGACGACACCACTACTAAGCATAAATGACTTAAAATCAAGCCTGTGACAATTAAAGTATGTGCAAATAATAAAAACATTTTAAACTGTCGTGAAAGTGTTTTGATTTATTTCCTTATATCTGGAATAGTTATGACACTGACTATTATTTTGTGTTCTACTTTTTCCACATTAACTAATACGAAAAAAATACTTTCAGTGGACTTTTGCATTGAAGGTCAAAGTCATCTAACATTTTTCAAAATAATGCTATTTTCCTAGACTTTGAATGTCAAAATCTACATGTGCCAACAGTAAACCACAAAGGTATATGGTATATATTTTTATGAATACGCACGCATGAGTAGTAAACCTGAACAATTAATATATGTTTGTTGTGTACATTTAGCCTGACTATGGTAAAAGGCTAGACTTCGAATGTCAAAATCTACATGTGCCAACAGTAAACCGCAAAGGAAAATGGTATATATTTTTATGAATACGTACGCAAGAGTAGTAAACCTGAACAATTAATATATGTGTGTGGTGTACATTTAGCGTGACCTTTATATGGTAAAAGGCTAAATTTTGGGTCAACTTTCATCAAAACTAGACAGTTATAAAGTTTGCTCGAACAGAAGCCTTAATTATTGGAAAAACAAAATTATTTCACAAATCTATGCTTACAGATTTAACTTTTATATATTACGGAGCTAAACTTTGAGGCCCGTACCTGTGAAATTGGATTCGGAAATCGTTATGAGAAAGATGTAAATTGTTTAAACAAAGCGATTTGAACCCAATATGAATATCCAAAGTAAACACCCTCAACTAAAGTGAACTCTAGAAGGGGCATATAGAGCGAAACATACTTGTTACTGTCTAGGCAACAGTTATAATATTTCCAATGTGTTTTTTTTTTTACACTGAATGAAAAAAATAACACTGCCACCCTTATGCAACCTAAACGCACTTCTTCGTGAAAATCTCTTTTTCGATTCAATGCGTTTGACATTGCTTTCTGGGTAATTATGTTACTGATGATTTTTTTTAAAAAAATCTATACGAATTATTCAGTTAACAAACACTTTTAAGAGTTATTCAATTTTTAAATGCAAAAAGTACCTAACTGTATTTTTATACAGAAATCTTAACTAATTAAATATATAAAAATATATTTATTTATTAAACTGTATAAAATATGTTTGATTTAAATCAGTTGCCTAAAAACGAAATTATGTGATTTAAATCAATGATTTAAAAAAAAATCATATGATTTAAATCCTACCCAACCTGCTATTTATTCGTTATATATATTTTGAAAAACACTTTATTTATATATTTTGAAAGTATCTAAAAACTATGATTATAGGCTTTCAGCTATATGGTTTAATGTCTTGAAAGGATAAGCCGGATAAAACTGATTTTCACTTCCTATTCCTTCTCATATAATTAAACACTGGAAACACTGGAAACACTGGAAACTTTAATGTGAAAACTGATTAAAGCATAAATATTTTTTGCTCACTAATAAATTGCCCAATATGCATTTCAAGTTATGATTAAAGAGAGATATACTTATAAACTATCCAGTGTTTACGTGTTTGTTCACGGCAGACTTAGCACAATTCTTATTTTTTCTTCTTCCTGTTTCCACGACGTTTACAAACGATCAATTTCTTTGGAAGATAAAAACTAGTTATCATACATAATATTCTTGACATTTTGAATTGAAGGAAACAAACAAATTACAAATAATAATAATAATGCTTTAAAATTTTACAATGTGTTTCCCTACGATTTTTACTAACTGTCAGTTTCAATTTTTTACAAGGTTTGAATTTACTACTGTACTTCTTCGGAGGATTAAAATTAGTAATCATGCGTAATATTAGGGGGGATATTTTGAACAGTGGGAAATGAAAAATTACGAACAAATATATAATGTTTGAAAATTGTACTGTGTGTGTGTCTGTGATTTTTACATATTTAATACGATATTTCAATTTCCATTATTTTTTACCAGGTTGGAAAGTAATTATTAGGGATGCGTTTTATATTATAGGGATAATATTCGCGATATTTGAATTGCAGGAAACAAGAAATTACAAAAAAAAATAATAATAATGCTTGAAAATTGTACTGTGTGTTTCTCTATGAAATATATTGGTTATATAGATTTATGAAATAAACCAACCTGAAAAAATCAAACTAAAACTTTTCTGCTACACTGAAGTTGTTGAAAACTAAAAGTCTTCCTTAAAGTACTAATTGATACCAATGAATTAAAAAATAAATCAGAATACTTGTCAAGCAAGGAAGGAATGAAACTTGGCAGGATTTTATTCTTATCGTATTTATATGTATTATTTAATTTTAGATTCAAAAACATATTTTCAAAGCAAAATTTATATTTTTCTTGACAAATTAAAAATTGAATGTTAAGTGACTAATTATATTTAGAACTTTTACAAAAAATTATTTTAATTTCTCTTTACTATTGATTTTTGTTCACTTATTTTTTTTTAAATAAAGTATGTTCAATATAATTTATGTATCAATATAATTTACTTACTTTGAGAACCCAAGTCTATGAGAATAAGAATATTATTAGCTTCACGCTCAAATAAGTACTTATTAAAAATATGATATTTTAAGTTTTCAAACTAATGCTATGTGTTTGGAGTCTATGCTTATGAAAAGTCATACATGTTTTCAAAAAATTTATTTGTACTAGTTATTTGTTATGGTTGATCATTTTGGTAATAGATAGGTGAAAAAAAATTTTTTGCTTAAAATATGTCCTCGGAGAAAAATTCAAACTTTTTTTCCGGGTTGCTACATCGAAATATTTCTTAAACTATTTCGCCAATGATGCCCATCTTCTAAATTCATTGTTTCAGTTTAAATTTTATATCGTAAACAACAGCCATTATGTTTTTAATATTTGTTTTTAAAACAAATTTATTAAATTCATTTTATAATAAAACAAATTTAAATAATTTCGTCAAAAAAACAAGTGCCTTACATTTCTAGACATTAAAATTTAACTATATTATTTCTCTGGAGAAAAAATCACTTCAATTATTATCCCAATTGAAGTTTTGAAAAACGTTGAGAATTAGAAACCTAATAACTATTTTAACCACTATTTAAGCCAAAGAATGAGCTTATGAGCACATTTTCTTGCATCTTTCATGAGAGCAATTAATTCTAAGAGTACAATTTCGTACACCTTTAGAAACAAAACTCTCTGTTTTGACATGTAGTCAAACTTTGTCTTTAGATGTAATTCATTATATTTAAAAAATTGTCCAAAAATCATGAAATTTTGAAAAAACAACTGTTCAACAAAAATACATCTTCCTTCGAATGTATGCAAAATGTATGCACAATGTATGCAAAAACATTATTTACATGATTTTAATATCTTCAAACAAGTGACGAGTGTAATCTCTCTATTTGGATTCAATTCTCGTACTTAACATTTTTCAAGAAATAATTTTCAAATAGGAAAAGAATTTCCTTAATATTCTGTACACATTTTGCAATTTGCGTTGTATTTTGTTATATACATTAATGTCTACTTAATACATCTGTAATTAAATGGAGCAATCATCCTTAATTAAATACAATAATCATCCTTAAATAAATTTTCCAAAATATTGTTATTTCTTAGATTTTGAAAAAGCCTAGAACTTTAAACTTTCCTTCCTCTTATTAGAAAGTCAGAAAAATTGCTTATTTTCAAATGAAATAACTTATGCAAAATGATAATTAAATTAAAATTATTTTTTAACTTACTGTCAAATTCTACGACTGAAACAAAGAAGAAATATACTTCTTCGTGAAAATNTATATATATATACAATAAGAGCAAAAGAGATAAAAAGGAAAAAAAAGAGAAAAACGAAGAAGATTAATAAGTTTTATTTACAGCGCATAAGTCTCAAAAATAAATTAATAAGTTAAAAATATAGAGAAAATTTGGGAAATATTTAAGATTATTGAAAAGAAAAGAAGAAAAATTATTAGAATAAAATAAATAATTTAAAAAAAATTCAAAATATATTTTTAAATGATGAAAAACAAAAAATGAAAAGATATAATCTCTACATCCCATCACACGATTATATCCGCAAAATGGAGTGCTTTCTAATATTGGATGAAGATACCCAATGCAAAATATAAGTGTAACATAAGTGTAAAGAGCAGTCAAAAAAAATGTATTTTCGAGTACTCCTCGCACTATTGTTGATTAAAAGAAAGGATAAGATCTCAAAGAATGAGGAAACGAGAAGTGAACATATGATTTTTAGAACAACAGGTGTGTAACACTTGTGAAACGCAGTTGCTTTTTAATCACAGAATAACTATGGCTGGTGCATTAAAAGCAACTCTGTTCCTCTATTTCCAGCGCCTTCTCTTCGTAAATTCATCATTGGACCTCAGTGCTTCATTCTTCGAGATTTTATCCTTTCTTTTAATCACTCTTTTAATCACTCTGTTAACCAGCAGAAGTCAAGTCCTTTTTTCTTAGTCAGTTTGTAGCTGGTAATCCTTACAATTTTATAAGATGATTTAGTCATGTCATGGAATTTTAATGTATGTATATTTTGAAAATGTGCGTTTGTTTGAAGCGAAAAACTACCTAGAAAAGAAATTTTCATTCGGCACCGTTCGACAACATCTTAAAGGGAGTTTACTCTAATACGGAGCCGATAGTAAATAACACACGCTACCGGCTTTTTTGTGAGCTGATTTATCTTTTCAAATATAAGTTTATTAAGTCCAATAAAAAATTTATTCAAAAAAGACTTTTACTTTATTATTTAAATAGAAATAATAAATTTAAGAAAATTTTTTTTGAAGATTGGTTTTGATTTTAGACATAAAGTAATACTTATTTATTTTTCTCAATTTTTATTATTATGAATGATTATTTCGGAAAAATTATAACACTTTTTAAAAATATATAAATAGTTTTCGTGTAAAAATATATGACTGCTTAAACTTTCCTGCCACAATACAAAAACAACTTGATCATTATTTATCACAGAATAATATTTTAATCTTTCCATTAATTTAATTAATCGCAAATAGTATATATTATCCAGTAATTTCGCACTATTGTATTGCAATTGATAATTAAAATTGAATTTTGTTACAATTAATTTGATGTTAGTAACAATATGAAAAGTGAAATTATAACCAAATATTTAGCACTTATATTCTCTGTAGTATAAATATTATGTTCCGCAGTATAACATTTATTTAAATTTAAACTCTTAAAATTTAAATCAGTTTTATCTAAACAGTTTAATTGCGAACATAACATCATTAATTAAGACAATACTTTTTATGATAAATTATTAAAGTAAAAGTTGTAGTTTTTATTAAATAAATGCGTTTCAATAATAGATATTTAGTGAATATTTTCGCGTAAAGTAATTAAAAAAGAATAGGAAGTTTTTTGAAATTGAAAATTAAACAAATAAAAACTTCTTACATTGCTGTGTTAGATCTAAAAATATTACATATATATGAACATGTATATAAATAATAAAATATAACATATAATTAATTATTTTGTTACCATAACATTTGTTGCGGCATAAAATTAATTAAAACTGTAGGAGCATAAATGCTTTTAATACAATTTTTATTGAAAAAAAATTCTGTACTGCATATTAATGATATTTTTTGGTTAAAAATTAAGCAAACAACATAATTCTATTTAATAAACCTAAATCTGTGGTATTAAAACCAGTAATTCAGTAATTTTTCTGTTTGTTATGGTAATGGTTTAGCGAAAATTCCGATTTTCAAAATTGTATCTCTTCCAAATTTACCACATTAACCAAATTTCATCAGCTATTACAAAGCCATATTTTATTATTAATTTTATAAAAAGCATTACCATAGCTCTTCGATAAAAATTACCGAGCTTCTTGATGCCCATATAGAAAGTAACGAAACTCTTTAAATTTTATAATATTCTAGTAGTTTCGACCATGCTTTTTTTCTCATACAATTAGATAATTTATGCTTAGCTGTTTTCTCTAAAGCAGATCAAATTTTAAGATTGTTTTGTGGCATTATTTTAATGCTTAAAATAGCTACAGAAGTTAGTTCAAAATTAATCGCATGTATTTCTTTTTAAACTAATACTTCTGCATGCAATCGTTTCTGAAAATAAGACGCCCTGTTTGTGTATCTAATTATTCTGACTTCATATATTCTTTAGTATGGCTAAAAAAAATTGAGTATAAAAATCTATTATACGTATCTTGAAAACAACATATAAAGCACTTGTAACCATAACTAAAATCATGTTTTTAAATGTTTAGTGAAGTATCTTGTAGAATAAGTAACAGAAAACCTTTTATTTAAAAAAAAATCTCTACGAATTTATGACCAATTCAAAACTTTTGTGAGAAAATAATCAGCTGATTTTTCATAAAGATGATCTATGATTATGATTATGATATGATTATGATAAAGATGCTCTATGAATCTATGATTTTTTATAATGCGGCAAGCTGAACATTTATTTTCCATTTTTTGGCAGATTTTGGGATATCTTTGGCAGATTTTGGGATATACACCTTTTATGCTTAATATATAATTTTCAGACCATAATTTTTCCTTTGTTTATTCAGTCTATACTATCTTATTTCTAAATATTTAACAAAAAATTTGAAATGATCCTGAAAATCTATACATTTTATACTTTAAAGATATAGCTAGATAGTTATAACTTTAACTTACCGATCATCGTATTTTCTATGCAAAAGAAAAAGTAATAATATAAATTTCAGAATATGCATTATTAAGCCCATAAAATACGTATAATTATTGAAATCACTTAAAAGTTTACAGTTTGCTTAACTTAATTATGAAAGAAACATAAAAATAAAAAGTTTTAAAGAGATGACCGTAACTTGCTTCCAATGTAATAACTAACGATTAAAGAGTTTACCAAATATTAAGTTACAAATATTTCAAATATCTTACTCAAGTTATTTATAAATGTTCTGACTGGAAAGTTCGCTTGCCAAGAAGAGCTGAAAGATCACTTGGATTTCATGTCAAACAATTATTTTAAAATTCTTCGGGTGTAGATTTGTAATGGACTAATTTTCCTCAGATTTTCATTTTACCAGAAGAAATAAATGATTGCTTTATTTTGACAGCAATGAAATTAAGTAGCAAATTTAACTCTGAAGACAATGTTTTTAATGTTTAAATTTAAGAAGAAACAATATTTTTAAACATAAGAATATTATACATATAATACTTTAAGATATTAAAGATATGTAAGATATTGTATTTAGATTATTGATTATTTGATTCAGACCTCAGCAATTAGTAATGATTAAAAGAAATACTTCATCATTTCCATATATCTAAACATATTCTGCCTTAAATAACTAATTGTATGTTATAAATAAGAGTTTTAAATAACAAATTGTATCTTATAAATAAGAGTTGTAAATAACAAATTGTATGTTATAAATAAGAGTTACAATGTGATTATATGATATAAATATATTAAAACATGTTTGCTATAATTAAGAGAATTTATTTTATTAATTTTTTTAATAACTATTACTAAAATATATATATAATTTTATGTAAAATACGCTGATCATAATTCGAAGCATTCAAATTTTGAAAGGTTGGATAGTAAAGAAAAAATTATATTGAATGCTAAAATTACATAGAATAACAAATAAATAAATAAAAATAATAATAATAGTTTTGATGGAAAATCTAGGATAGATGGCCTCAGTTTTTTCAAATCGAAATAAAATTATTTGGAATAGAGATACAAGAAATATTTATGCATATTTTAAATTCTCTTACATGCGTTCAACATATTTTGAGCACAAAATAATAGAATTTGAGAACGCAATAAGAAAAAAAAAATTTGAAATTGAACCAACAAGTGGCCATCTCCTCTTAATGTCTAGGTGAGAAGGCCATCGAAGGGAATGTGTAGTTAAAATGTGGAAAATAACACATTTCATACACTTAGACAGGAAAAACTGTACAATAAGCTGCGATGAATGATTTTTATCTTGGAAAGTAAGAAAAGAAAAATTAATGCACAAAATATTACACAAATTTAACCAATTACTTTCTATGGAATTTAGTTGTGGTATTCTATTCTTCTCAACAGCTAGAATCGATTAATACGTTGAGCTCTGTCGTGTAGGTCATAGGGTTCAATCAGATAATATGTCTACTACTATGTATGCTACAGTCTGTAGAATAGAAATGTAATATGCAGGGTTGTACGGTCCTCAAAAATTAAATAACTGAAGTTTCAGTATTGTAATTAAAAACTTAAGGATTTCTTTTTATCAGCTTTCATCGTAAAATTACAAAACTAAACCAATCCAAAAGAAAACTATTAATTATCCAATAATTTCATAATTAGATTTATTTATTTGAAGATATTTAGCTTGGTTATGAGGACTAATTTACTAAAATACATATTATTTTCTTACTCTTTCAGTTTATTTTTAATTTCTTTAAAGGACACTACTATCTTTGATGTAACAATACTTATTAATGAACAGTGGCCATCTCTCCTCTATTTTATATGTTCATCTCTCCTAAAGTTGATGATGAAATGACCACTGAATTTGTAGCATCATTCCAATAAAATATTATTTTGCTTTTACTCAGGAATAATACATAGAACTATATATGTGCTGTAAAGGTCCAGCTGGATGATGAAATATTTAACCTACATACTGAAAGAAAAAAGAATATGTGCATGTATAAGAATTTAAAATATGCATTAAAATTTTGTTGTATCTCTATTCTTAGTACTTTTCTTTCGATTTGAAAAAAAATATGGCCATCTGTCTTAGACTTATTCTAAAAGCTCTCTTTTTGGAAAGGAAGAAAAAAAATATACTTCAGTTGATGGGTGAAAGATTTGCTTGATGCATTTGTTGGTCAAGAAAAATAATTTAAGCTTAAATAAAAAAAACATTAAAATTTTTCACAATGTTTTTTCGCAAAAAGCAATGCTCTGTTTAATTTGCTAAACAAGTTGAACAGCTTCCCGCAAAACTGCGTCTACTGCAATATATTTAAAAATATTTGAGATATTCGAACTGGCCATCTCTTCACTATGGTCATCTTACATAGACTTGCCCTATATTTTCAGATTGCTACTTACACGTGGTCACAATTTTATTATTTTCACATAACGAACAGTGTATTTAAGACAGAATTGCAGGTAAAAGAATTCCGAAAATTTAATTTGCTTTTAAAGTATTTGAAGTTAAGGAATTTCTTAAAATTATAAAATTATATGAATAACTTTAAGTTAGATAGTAAATTTATAACAATACTCACTTCCTCTCATTTCTTTAAGGAAAGAAAAAATTAATTATAGCGAATAAAATATTTGTAGCAAACATACTATCAGGAAAATCCCGACACACAAACAGATGGTATTCTAATTTTTCTTTTTTTAAAATTCGAATTAAAAAATAAATAAAAGTGCGTAATTTTTATTTTACTCTGACTGTGCAAGCATTTTTTTAGATGACTACAAATATAGCAGTTTTTTTTAAATGAAAAACAGTATTCAAGCACAAAAATATTAAGTTGAAAACAAAGGAAGTTAATACTCATGAGAAAATTGTAGGGAAAAATGCAAACTTGATTCCAATTTTCATTTCTAGGTCTAATAAGATTTATGATCTTAACACCATTTTTTAAGAACGTTTATCAATTCAAATGTATCATTCAATCCAACAATAAGCAAAATAGGTTTTATTAAGAATGCAAAACATTATCCCAATCGTTGCAATTATGTTGCAAATAATAAATTCCATTCTTACGGGGTTAATAATTTATTTAAAATTGTTATTCGTAATTGCAAAATATGCCAAAAGAGATCTGCATTTAGCAAAGGGTCATTTTAGTGAATCGCTTTTTCCTGAAGTCAATATGGACGCACAATGCACTGTAAAAAATGGATACTCAAATATCCGAATGAATTTTTATTCAAAGTAAAGAAATAACTATTGTCACTTATTCAAGAATTAAATTTTGTAAGAATTAAGGAAATATTTCATCATTTTTTTTCTAGAAAATAACCTCTTAATATCAAATGTATCTAACTTTTCTTATGATCACTTAACCGTGGGTACCATATAGGTAGATCAATGTCTCCCTAGCAATACAAGAAAGACCGATAGAATGTAAACATAAATTACACACGCGTCGAACTCGGGATTCAGTCCCGGAATTCATGACAAAATTTGCGATTCTTCTTCCTTGATCCTATTCCTGCACTAGAATTGCTGAGAATGTTCCATTAAAGTGAAATTTAAATCACTAATGCACGATCAGAGAAAACGTAAAGCAAGCGGACTCCCAGCATTAAGTTCGAAAGATAGAAGTCCAGTCGAAGCCGTTGTAAGCTCAGAATCTATCCACCATACCGTGTGGGCGGCTACTTATATAACAATTCATAATAAAATAAGTAACAATTCATTGCATTTATTCGAAGGAAATTCCAATTATCTAAGTGAGTAGAGAAAAACCGGCATTTTCGATTATACTCTGTTACCGATAAATTCATACGCTTTAGCAAATCTATAGTAGTATAAGATAAACTTTTTTTTGTATCAGTTCCTTTGCTTAGAAATTTTATTCCATGCATTTATTTATTTACTTATTTACAGTCATTATTTAATAAAATATGTTTAAAATATAGGGGAACATAAAAAATTAATTTTCAATTTTGATACTCACTTTCAGCTTCATCCAGAACTACAAAAACATTTATTTTTTAGTGCTGATAAATTACTGGAGAACAACTTAAAATTTGATTTTGTCTAAAAAGAATTCTTTTCATTACGAGTATTTTTTACTATAAATTAGAATTCAACATTTAAATACAATTACTAAATTGAGATTTCAAAGAAAGTCTGTAATTTAGTCCTTATAAATAAATTTGGTTAATTCAGCACTATTATATGTGTAAAAAAACAGAACATTATATGCTTTATTGGTCTATTTTATTTATTTTTCCAATTTACAATCGAAATCCATTATCTCAGAAAAAGACAGGTGGATCACTCCGCTTTCAAGTGGAGATTTCTAGGTCATTTCCTTTATCAAATGCATCATAATATGCTTAATAACTTTAAAAAATGCAAATTTTATGTACTTTTTATGAAGTGCATGTAGTACTCCATGCTTAGGACCAGAAACTATTTTTGAAGAAGAAAATGCATTGGATAAATTGCATTGCATATATATATATATATGCAATGGTCAGGAGAGACATCCAATGTTTAGATTTCCTGAATGTTAATTTTACTTATTTTTATTTGTGAAGTTAGCCTAGAGGCTCTAACTTTGGCCGTAACAGGGTGCAACTCTTCCACAATAAGGCATCTTTGCTTTTCTGTTACGTTCTGGAAATATTTCTGAAACTACTTCTGAATTTTGGAATATGACAAAGTTTAGGTTGGAGCAATTTTTTACGTATTATTCAAGTTTTATATTCTGATCACTCCTTCCCGGAATATTTTTGAACACAGTGTTGCCATAATTAGTTAACTAAGATATTTTTCTCAAACTGGTCTTTTTAAGTTTAATGCCAGATGACAAATCGTGAAGGGGAATAGTCAACGATAAGTTTTTAAAATAATACTTAGAATTGAAAAAGTTGAATTTGCATGGGTATAAAAAGTAAGGATAAGTTTATCTAGTAAATGAAGATATTTTTTTGAAAAATAAAAATTGTGCGAATGTTTGGTGATTATGATAACAATTGTTAAATATGTAGTTTTCTGCATCCTCCACATCTTTGTATACATTTTAGAACTCTAATTATAAGTAATTGAAGTCTTTCAATTGTACAAAACAATTACATTTGTGCCTACAAATTGTAAAGATTAATACTTACCATTAAATAGTACTTCTAAAGAAAAAAATGTGAAATATATTTAGTAAAGAGAAATGTATTATGAAGTTGTAACTATAACTAAAATTGTTATAATAAGAGTGAGCTTTTATGCTTTTTAACCAACCGCGCAACTAAGTAACTGTAATTCGAACATTCGAATTGTAATTCAAAGTTTCATTATGCAAAAAAAAAATTATGTTTAAGGATAATTTTATTTTTCTCTTTAAGGATAATTTTAAGAGATTGATCTCATTTGTTTTCGCTGTCTATTCAAGGACCATATTATATTTAATTTCGAAGTCAGCTGTTTAAAGAATCTATTAGAAGCCTTGAAGTAGTTAATTAGTAAGAAAAAGCAAGTTAATCCAAGAAAAATATTAGTTTAAAAAAACATACAATTTTTGAGAAATATAAAATCTATAGGATTTTAACGAATTTAAAGGGGACTTATTTTTTAGTTTGATTACTTAAATAATTAGAAATTTCAAGTGCACTTTTAATGATACTAAATACTATTTATAAAAAAACTGTACTAGAAATTACCGCAATTTGTATTTTGCGTGAAATTTAAATAATAAATTTCTTATAAAATTTTCAATAAAAAAAATTTTTATCAAAGAAACTCGGCAAGTACTTATTTATTATTTTTTATAATCAAATTTGAAACAATAATTCGCCATAAAGGGCTGTATGTCATACAATGCAAATAAATTAAATTTTCAAAGTCTAGCCCTTAGCAATACATAACTCAAAAGGGTTAATCGCAAAAAATAACAATACTAAACTTGCATTTATTTGTTTTTGTAAAAATGTAACTTGTAAAGATAAACTTGTAAAAATTATTAGATAAATCAAGAAAAATTACTTTTTTTAGCAGAATTTATTTTTTTGTTCTAAATTCGTCAGGACAAATATAAAACTTACCCCCAAACATAAAATAAACTAGAAAAATATAAATATATTATTTTAAAAGTTTTGGCTTCTTAAGATACAAAAAGCGAAAGATTTTTAAAACAAGATTAAAATACATGAAAATAATTTAGATCAAAATTTTTTAGTAATAAAAAAAAGCGTGACTTAATTTATTTCTCTGTTGCAAAATAATTAAATGTAAAAATAAATAGATTATTTAACCAGATAATAAAAAGTTACAAAAAAAAATTCGAGCCGATTAAATTTCAATTTTATTATTAATTTATTTAGGCAAAATTAATTTAAGATCCTTAATGTACTTCTTTGTTCGATTATAAAAACAAAAATCATCTGTATGAAAAATCAAGTTAGAAATTATTATGAACGAATCGATCCAAACTTAAATATATTTAAGATATACAAAAGCGTTTACAGCTTTCAAACAAACTAATTCTCATTAAGTTATATTCTCTTAAAAATACGTACTGGACCAAAATGATCCAAACACAGCGTAACGACACAGCTTATAATTATACAGTATAAAAGCTTCTGGAAAATAGTCAAAACAGAGGTAGAATCGTATCAGGCTAATTGTGTTTTTAATATTTTCAGCAGAAGGCAGCACTTGCGAAGACAGACACTAGTGAGTATTGCAAAAACAGAATGTTCTAAGCAAAAAGTAGTTTTTTCTTCTTCTTTTTTTAAATGTCTGGATAATTTCGGATTATTGATTATCATCAGATTATTGAACATATCAGATATTAATTTGTTTACCTTTAAAAAGTAAGCTATCAATAAAACTAAAAACTAATTGCAAACATATTAGATTGCGCAAAATCAATTAACTACTTTTCGATACCTGTAAATTGTATTTTTATAAATTTACTAAAAAAAAAATTAAAAAAAAGCTTAATAATAATAATGTGTTTTTGCAACCACAAGTATATTTCTTCTCGCGCATTAGTTGCATGTTATTCGATTCAACCTTCCACTAGTCAAACTTATAAAAAAGCAATGGCTATAAATTATATGCTTATAGGTTTATTTCTGCTACTTTTTTTTTCTGCAAATTTCTACAGTAACAAGTGAACAGGTGAACAAGTGAACAGGTTTTTTACTTTTTCTACCACTCTTTGCTATAATACCACTTAGTTAAATACAGCTTCTTTTAAGCTTAATTTGAGAACTTTTAATTTCTGTTTTCTTTTTCTGCATCAAAAATAACTTTGCCTAAGGATGGTTAAGTTAAAAATACAAAGAAAACAGACACACACATATATATATATATATTTATTTGTAGGGCAAGCAAGGAAAAAAGACAATAATTAATTTAACAATTAAACTTAACAAATTTANAGTATTTTTATATATATATATATATTTAAGTTTAAAAAACATATTAATAAATAGTTTTTTTAAAAAAATACTTAAAAATTCTAAAAAATTTCAAAAAATTAAAATTGAAACAAAATTAAAAAAGCTGTAAAATAAAATAAGAAAAGATTACCTCACCGTCAGTTCACACGATTATATCCGAAAAATTAGTGGTTTCTAATATAGTCAATCAATATAAAAGTATCAATAAATTTTTTTTTTCTTGTTTCCTTTGTATTTTTAACTTATTTTACAGGTTTTATATACTTGCAGTTTATGCGCAGTATATATATATACTGCAGTTATATATATATATTTATTTATTTATAT